AAGTTAAAAGTTTTGTCAAGGCAGGTTTGGCATCATACATGGTTTAAGACAGTGTTTCTCAACCTTCCTAATGCCGCGACCCCTTAATACAGTTCCTCATGTTGTGGTGACCTCCAACCATAAAATTATTTTTGTTGCTACTTCATAACTGTAATTTTGCTACTGTTATAAACTATAATGTAAATATCTGATATGCAGCATGTATTTTCATTCACTGAACCAAATTTGGCACAAATACCCAATATTCCCAAATTTGAATACTGGTGGGGTTTGGGGGGGGGGGGGATTGATTTTGTCTTATGGGAGTTGTAAGTGCTGGGATTTATAGTTCACCTACAATAAAAGTGCATTCAGAACTCCGCCAATTGAACCAAACTTGGCACACAGAACTCCCATGACCAACAAAAAATACTGGAATGGTTTGGTGGGAATTGACCTTGAGTTTTGGAGTTGTAGTTCACTTGCAACCAGAAAGCACTGTGGATTCAAACAATGATGGATTTGAACCCAACTTGGCATGAATACTCAATATGCTCAAATGTGAACACTGGTGGAGTTTGGGGAAAATAATTTGGGAGTTGTAGTTGCTGGGATTTATAATTCACCTACAATCAAAGAGAATTTTGAACCCAACCAACAATAGAATTGGGCCAAACTTCCACACAGAACCTCCTGCCTTGAAGGGATTCGCTGGCACAAGCATCCCTCGCACCTTGCACACACTCTCTGTCCTCTGCAAATGCGCACCATGATGCCATGTGCCAAGCATGCCGGCTCTCCCCTCTCTACTTGGGGTCTCTGAGAGGCCAGTTGAGGCTGGACAATCACAGTGGAGGAGGGCTTCTGGTGGGAGGATTTGCTGTCTGTTTCCAAAAAGGAAGAGAAGGACCTGCGGAGAGATCTTCAGCCTTCTCTGCCAAAGGGGTTTCTAAGACCATCAGAAATACGTGTTTTCAGATGGTCTTTGACGACCCCTCTGAAACCCTCTTGTGACCCTTCTAGGGATCCTGACCCCAGGTTGGGAAACACTGGTTTAAGAGAAGTGGGCAACTGCAGAGAGTGATGGTGATATCATTATTTTCCTCTATCTACTTTTTTTAAACTACCGTACTTAATATTTACTTAACTGGTGAAAATCAGATTTCAGCCTCTAAAATATTAGTAAAGAAACAATTTAATACATATTAACAATTCTTTTCATTAAAAAACCCCACAAGTGATTTATTGTTTGACATTTTTTTAAAGAGAAGATTCAACAGAATGAAGTGATAAAACAATAAAAAGTTTAATCAAAATCATCATCATCATCATTTTATTACTTATTAATCACCCTCCATCCAAGATGCTCTAGGCGATTTACAAGCTAAATTGTAAAGGATAAAAATACATACATACAGATATTGATAAAATTGACATAGATCAAAAATTACTCAAGAGTAACAATCTAGAAAACCCCTGGACAAACAAATGCATGTTCAACTAGTAACAGACATACCTGAGATTGGGAGACCATCAAATTCCCTTTCAACTGTTGTTATGTGCCTTCAAACCATTTCCAACTTATGGAGGCCCTAGTATGAACCTATCAAAGGACTTTCTTGGCCCAATTGGTTCAGAAGGGTTGTCTTTTCCTTCCTCTGAGGATGGAGGACTGCCACTTGCCCAAGGACACCTGGTGGGTTTCCACAACTGAGCAGAGAATCAAGCCTTGGTCTCCAGTCTTAGTCCAATCCTCAAACCAATACTCCATGCTGACTCACTAAATACCCCTGGCAAATCCCAACTTCATATAGGGGTTTAGTCAACCCTTCAGAAAACCTTACCACACAATTAATAATTGTTATCACCATATTCCACTGTGGGCATCTGTGTTCCCTGTTCAATAGGATTATATTGTATGCATATGTACCTACAAGTTGCTTGTTGATTTATTGAGACCCCTTGCATGTCATAGGGTTTTATTAAGCAAGGAACCTTCAGAGGTCATTTTGCCCGTTCTTTCCTCTGAAATATAACCTACAACACTTGGTATTCATTGGTGGTCTATCCAAATACTAACCCTACTGAGCTTACAAGATCAGATGACTTCCATGGTGTCCCTATGGTTGTTATGTGCCTTCAGGTTGTTTCTGATTTATCTCTGCCCAGTTTCTATCATTCCTTGTTTTACTTCAATATTGTCTTGGAGATAGTGAGTTTGGTTGTATAGGGCACCATCCTGTGGTATCTTGTGGCACAGCATCCTCTTTGACTACACACTAGAGAATGAATCCACTTTAAATCTGGTTTCTGCCTCCTGCAGAATTCTGGGCTTTGTAGTTTAGTGAGGCTGCTAAAGCTCCTCCCTAAACTACAACCCCCAGAAATCTGCAGGAGGCAACAACTGGATTTAAAGTGGATTGATTTTCTAGTGTGATGAGGCCATATATCACTATGTAGAAAAACCTAATACCAATCCAGAGCACAAAGAAAGGACTTTTTAGAGAGAAATGCTGAATCAGTCCCAGCCACATATACTGTAGCTATGTGTGGGCCAATCTACACTGCCATATGATGCAGTATGAAACTGCATTATATGGTCAGTGTAGTTTCATATAAGGCAGTTTAACTGCATTGGGCTGCATTATATGATTCTACATTGACCATATAATGTGATTTTAAACTCCTTTATATGGCAGTGTAGATGGGGCCTGTGAACAGATCCTCTAGCAAACATAGTGAGGATTATGTTTCTCTGCCTAATAATAAAGGATTCATCTTGCCTCCTTCATTATTTCTTCTTGTTTGTTTTGTTGGTTTGGCTGGGATATATTTAGTTATCTGAAAAGGCAAGCCTTGCTATCATTCTTGAATTAGCTGAATCACTTTCATTAACTGTAGTTTATTTAAAAAGAAGATGATTTTGCAGAACTGCCATTTCCTGCAGTAGGGGTTACTGGTAGGTCATCATGAGATCTAAAGGAATCCACCAATTAAACAAGGACTATAACATCAAACAGGATTGACTTAGCGGAAGAAAGATTGACATTCTTCCTTGCCAAAATGACTTAAGGTGTGGAAAGTAATAAACTGCAAGAGAGAGGTTTCACAAACAATGCATCCTCTAACAATTAGAGGGGCTTCTGGAATGGCACATGTCTACGCATTGAATTTATAGGATTTATTCCCACTACTATCGGTTCTATCAAACTCAGTGGTGGTACGTCTGAGCAATTGTGATTCAAACATTGCTGAAAGTATCTGTGTGTGGGTTGTCACCTTTTGCTTTATTGTTGCTGACAGATGGTCACTGCCCAGGACCAAAGACCAAGATTCTGCATGTCAGTAACACAGTTACAGAATGAGAAGTATAGTAAGCTCTCCATTTTTGCAGACAAGTAACACAGGACCCCCACAAAAGAGGGGGGAAAGTGGAGAAAACATTTTTAACCTCAAGAGAAAATCTTGCTCAGAATATCTAGATGCTCCAGCACCATTCTATGGCCAACTTCCACCAGATGTTCACCACAAAATAATGTTGGAGGACCTACAGATGTCTAGAGAAGCATTTTTTTCTAGGAATCTCTAGGTCTTACAACACAACTCTATACACCGCTAACTTTCAGTGAAAATTGTTCCAGATTACCTAGGGAGCATATATTAACCAAATCCATAAATAATCAAATCCACAAAAGTTAAATCCACATTCGTGTAAGGTCAATGGTAGCTATCATTTCTGTCATTGTGTTCAATCCTCATTTTTTTTGTTTTGTTTCCTGCCAATCCTTCCTACCCACCTTTAATGACGTAAGGCAAAAAAAAAAATGAAAACAACAACAAAATAGATGTGTGGGCAACCGCAAAGCCTTCTTAGAACTGGGTTAAACATATCTATCTAAAGGTCGCATAGTTATCACTACCTCTACAAAGGGTAACTGAGCTGCAATTATGCCTTCTATGTCAAAGGCTGAGACCTAACAGAATGAACAGGCTTTAATCATGTCACGGCAAAGCTACTAGGCTCACAGTGAGTCTGAGACAGATGTTTCTTCGTTGATTGGTGATTGGATGAGCTGCTGAGGGACTTTCCATCTGTCAAGTAAAGTGTGCAACCTCAATGTGAACAAGGGACTCCACGGGTTAATCTGCTCATGGAGAAGGCAGAAAAAAGGACGACTGATGTAGTGGGATCATTTCCGCTAGTCTAGGAAGCGTCAGGGTTTGCTAGAAGCTAATGGGGAGCATCTAAGCTTGTCCCATAGGCCTTGTCATGTTAGACTGACGAGTCTAATAGGAAGGAATGGCTTTGCTCAGACAGTGAATAGGATTCCCACACAGATTCCCATCACATATGAAGAATAATGCAGTCTAAAATCTTTTCCTGACAAGCATTTGAAACAACCAGCACAACTTAACTCATGGCTTGACAATGCATTTTAATTTCCAGTCCTACTTTTTCACTGTATTTACATTGTTACTAGATTTTTAAAACTGGCTCATTTCTGAGTAAAGCTTGCTAAAGTTGAGGAGGCTAGCCAGTAGCCCCTCAATGTCCTTCACAGTCTCTATACTTTTCTGGAAACAGCAACTTTAGAGCCTTTGGGCATTTTAGAATATCTAAAGGCAATCTGAACTTCACAATTAAAACTGGTGCCATGCACAAAATAGTTTGCAATTTACTTGCCAGGGGTCAGAGAATTGACAGATACCTGGACAGATTTCTTTTATTTTCAAATCTTTTGTAATATAAGTGAAATGTCGCCTGTTATTGGGAATTACTGCATATTACTCCTTTGCGTTTTCAGGGCTTATGTTATTCAGCTGTTTACAGCTGGAGCCGGATAATCGTTCTCAGCCAGGATGTTTGCTTATGACTCTGTGGAAATAATTCAAATGTCATAAAGATGTATGGTGGCTTCCTTGCAAGGAAGATAGGTGCAGGCAGATTTTGGTAGACTGTGTGGAAAGGCTAAAAATCCTGATATGGTTTGCAAGTTACCCACTCAAAAAACACATTAAAATGGCTTGAATTATTTATTTTGTTTTTAAAAAATAAAGTTCTCTTTATTTTACACATGAACTTGTTACACTTAACAAATGGACCTGTTTACATATGAGCCTGTTACACTAGTTTTATGGCACTGTGCCTTCATCCTTGTTCTTTCCTCTCAGCAGTTAATATACAGGATAATTAAAACAATACACACTAAATGCAAATCTCTCTTGCCTTCTAGCCAGTTATTTCTTGGTGTCCTTCCTACCTACCATAGCATTTTAGAGAAGCGAAATGTTTTAGTAAAACTCTTACAAAAAATAGGTCTCTCTTTACCCATCTTACAATTTCTAGAACATTAACAAATGCAGCTTTGAAATAACAACCTCCTCAAGATTATTTATGCACGCGTCAAAAAGAATTTAAAAAATTGGTGAAAATCCCAGTTATTGTTTGATGCCAAGTATTCATTTCCTAGCTTCTCGCTTTCTTTTCACTGTTCCTATGTTGACTCCTTCCTCTGCCTTCTATTACTAATACTGGGTTGTTGTGTATTTTCCAGGCTGTATGGCCATGTTCCAGAAGCATTCTCTCCTGACGTTTCACCTACATCTATGGTAGGCATCCTCAGAGCCTCTGAGAATGCCTGCCACAGATGCAGGTGAAACGTTAGGAGCGAATGCTTCTGGAACATGGCCATACAGCCCAGAAAACACACAACAACCCAGTGTTTCCAGCTAGGAAAGCCTTCAACAATACATTATGAATACTGCACATTAGGAAGTTCACATACTGAGTTGTACCTAAAATCAATACTGCCTTTATACACATCATATTATACAGAATTAAAACACAAGGCTCTGGGGGAAGACGATTGAATTCATTAGCCTTCCCCTTCGTATAATTACAAATAATATTTTTAAAAAAATAATGTTAAAAGATTTTATATCATTACTAGATTTTATTACAAACTGCGTTTGCCTTTGTTGGAAAAAATATCTCTCTAAAGGGCTATTTCCACATAGTAAACTGTATTCCAAAATAAGTTTATTTTACTTTGTTTTACCTCTTACACCACATAAGGACTGGCCCAAAAGATTTCCCAAAAACGCTACATTTTCCCAATACCAAGAGTATTACATGATTAATATTATCCTACTCATTCAAGAAAGAGAAGAGGCACCATCCCTTGTTACATGATATGCTTTGGCCAGCCACACAGTTCCCTTCGGCATCAAGCATTTCAGTTACTTTTTGTGGCTTTGCACAAATGTGCTAAGCGACAGTGCACCACTTTGCACTTGTGTACGTGTTTCAGGCTTGTGCTTTAAAGCGAATACGAGCGCTCGCACGGTCCTGCGGTAGGGTGCATTAATGAGACGGGAAGAGAGATGAAAAGCTTCTCGCTCAATATTTTCCGCCAGCGGGTGCCCAATCTGAAAACAGAAAGTAAGAAATGAGATCCTTACGTTTAATAAGGAGACTGACTGTTTGAAATCGGAGGCTGGTTCCTTAATCAGCTCAAATTCAAGGAAATCCACTTCACATCTTAAGTAAAACAGGAAGAGCAATTTAATTTCACTCTAGCAATTAAAGAACAAGGCACTGTGGTCAGCCACTTTTTGCCAACCCAACAGGAAACTAATCGGCAGCCAACCAGGGGTATCGGGTTCAAGTGCAATTATGAAGAAAGTGGTGTTGCCTCCAATAACACGCACTGATACGGGACACTTTTGATAGTGTTTCAAAACCAAGTCGAAAAACCAGCTCCTCGGTGCTCTCAATACTTGGCAGGGCTAACTGGCGGGGTTGTAAAGGGAAATGTAGACTCCGTGAGCAAGTGTAAGGAGGTGTAATTAAGAAAACAGAAAGGGATTTGCTAGATGTTAATTATGAAGTTATTGCTTCAACATGTGCCAAGCTATGCAATTTGGCACAGCTGAGACATCTAAATAAATTATATAGAAATAAATGAAAAGCAAGTACTGCTTACCAAAAAAGAGGTTTATTTCTCTTTTGCCCATTAGAGCTAAGGAATTCTATTGCTCGGGAGGATCCAGAAATGCAATGGTTACTATCCCCTTGCTTATTCCCCCTCTACTCTAGCTACAGCCATTTCCTGCTCTGACCTGTATCTTATATTGAAATTAAGCTTTTAGTGTGCAATTGAAAGCAATGTACTCCCCAAGATCACTCATCACACTGTTTGTGTAAGATTGTGAATCTAAAATGCAATGTCCGAAGTTTACTGCACCAATGTGTTTGAATATCTTCTGTATTGGCCGTAAGAAAAGCCATAATGAATCCGAACAAGGCCTCAGCATGCTGTTCCCACAGTAGTCAACCAAATATCAATGGGAAACTCAGAAGTAGGGCATACGTGAAACAGCTCCCCCTCCTCTGTTCTAGTTCCCCAGCCATTGATTTACAGAGACCTTTTGCTTCAAGTACTAAAGGGAATGTATATCCCTCATGACTACTAGTCAAAGATAAGAAGCACGTAGAGAAGAGGTAGAAGCCTCAGGATGTTGAAAAAGATGGATATATTCTTACAAACATCTCACCATGTTTCAGTCTAAAAATATTAAATATCCTGCTTTGGAGGAGTTCCGCTTTCAAACTGACTGCAGGGATCGCAAAAAGAGTGTTTCCAATGCCTAGGCCTGGCAACCAAGGCCCCATATTTCTGGTACTAAAGGGAATATATATTCATCATGGCTACCAGCCAGAGACAGACACATTCCCAATGAGCTTGCTCAATCCCCTTTAAAGCTGCACAAGTTGGCAGCCTACTAATCTACAATAATGAAGTCCAGGGATAACTATAATGCAGTGTGTAGAAAATACTTTCTTTTATCAATCCCAAATCTCCCATCACTCCGTTTCAATGGATGTCCCTAAATTATGTTAGTGAGATTTGAGGGGGGAAGTTTTTAGATGTATTTTAATACATTTATGTTTGATGATATCAAGGGTATAACTTTTCTTTTCATACTTTTTTAAATGCCTTTGCATTGTTTTAACTTATATTGTGTCATATTAATTGTTTGCTGTCTTAAGTCCCTAGATTGGGAAAAATGGGAAAAAGTAAAAAAGTAAATTATTTTTTTATGAGAGGTAGAAAATATCTCCTGTCTACTTAATCCATGCCATATGTAACTTTATATAATTCTTTCATATGTATATGCTTAACAATCTCAACTGTTAGAATCCTTTCTCAAGGGAGCTGATTATGTCCACCTGTTGCCACCTAGTTTATTGCCCCATGGCAGTTTCTTAGAATGGAATGCATGACAAGGAGAAAGCAAGGAACAGGAAAGTTGTGCCCAATGACAGTGGCTAATAGACATCCAATCTGTTTTTGGCATGTCAGCTCTGCCAATTTTCAGCAGTGCGGTTTTAGAATTGTCACCAGGGAAGACCACATAACAAGGGGAACAAAAACACTGGTGAAGATGCCTTGCAGCGTTGTCTATCTCTAATGTACATGTTTGTATATCGATGATAACAACCTGCCTCGAACTTGCGTGTTCAGTCTGTCGCTGAAAAGAGAACACATTCTGTGTGTACTACTGAACAAATGTAGACAACAGTGAGAGAGGACAGCATCCAACTTAAAAGTGATTAGAACATTTGTATAAAAGCAATGGGCCAGTAGTCTTCCTAGGAGTGTGAGTTTCACGGCCGACCATTAGCTCTGTAGCAGAAATGGCTCATAATTTTCTGACCAGAGTCAACAACGCCTCTGAACACTCCTCCTAAATTGTGCTTTGCAATTCTAGAGTGCCTTGACATGTGATTTAAGGATAATTAATGAATACATTAAAGGATAATTATTGTAGAGTTTAATATAGCTGGCAAACTGATCATTAAAGCTTAGAGAGAATTTGTGTTATGTTCATTACTTAAGGATACCACAGGGATCTAATGTTTACCACCACTTTGTACACTATTGACCCTCACTGTAGGTTCTCACAATAAACTTTGATTTACTAATACTTAATTATGGATAGAAGGATTTGCCTGAAATATTGAACATCTAAGAGGCTAAAGATATAGCACATAAAAGAACCAAGAATACATTTCCATGCCTTCCTTTCATTCCATCAATTCCCAGAATAACATGTTGTTTACATATTGGCCATACAAACTGGATTATCCTGGATCAAGGCTTTGCAAATCTGGGCTGCCATTCTGGGAAATGCAGACTTGGATTAATCACTGTTATCTATGTTTTCTTACATTCAAGAACACAATAAGATACACCCATATCCACAGATTCTGCATCCACTGATTCTTCATCCATGGCTTCCACCATCCACGGCATTAACATTTTCATCCCAAAAAGTGAAAAAAATTCCTTTAGTTATGTCATAAGGACACCATTTTATTACACCATTATATATAACAGGATTTAAGCACCCATGGATTTTGGTATTCAAAGGTTCCTGGAACCAACCCAATCAGGTCCCAAGAGCCCACTGGATTCTCAAATATCTCAATAACAAGACTGTCTCTGAAAATATCTTGGAAACTTCCATTGTTTCAAAACACAGCTGTCAACTAGCCAACTGGGATTGGCCAGGAGAAAATGTCTTATCAGGTCTTTAAACTACCCCTGTTGCTGTTGGTCTTTTCCCGAAAGAAATTCAAAGTGACAGTGATCACTTTCAAAGCTTTAAATACATTGGGTTCCTGTAATATAAAGGACCATCTTCTACTATATATATCTACTCTATGTTATAATTATCAGAGGCCCCTATACCCACCTTCTGAAAACAGGCAGGTGGAAATTACCAGATGTATATGGCATGATCTCTGCTGTGAGGATCATTAGCAACCTAATATGTATTTTCAGTATTGGCCTCCCAGCAGGTCACTGAATAAGACACTAAATACATATACATCCATTCAGATTACAGGGCTGCATTTTGGTGGAGATTACTTTAGGATAATATCACATTTGGGATAAATACCCCTCTACAATAAATTCCTGGGATCAAAATTTACAGCGACTAACCAATAAAAGAATCTTGGGATCCATAGCACGCAGCTTGATGAAAATGTTAATCTAACGTGTGACTCCCACTAAAATAAACAAGCCAGAATGGGAACTAAAGATAAAACTACTAATACTACAGTGCCCTTACCATACTGTCCATCTAGCAATCATATCAGGAATACATGCCTAAAGTAATACTGGAAAGGGAGCAAAATGATTGCTAGACTACACTAGATGGAAAGATCATAACATTTGGGACTAAAAGATGAATGAGTAAAGACATGATGCAAATGTATAAAATAATGAATGGTGTATGATTTTCCCTCCCTCTTTTACAATACTAGAACCAGAGAAAATTCACTGAAAAGCATGGTAAGATCAAGAAATGATAAAAGGAACGGCTTCTTTACATATCACATAGGTGTTTTGTGGAACTCACTGTCACAAGATGTTATTTATGCCTGTCAAGTTTTAACAGGGGCTTGGATAAATTCCTGAAGATGGGGCCACTCAATGGCAACTAGTCAATATGCCTCTGTATATCAGTTACTGAGGAGGATGGCATGGGCACAGCAATTGTGCTCATGTGCTTTTTGGGAAACTGTTCAGCCACTGGATGAACAAAACGTTAGAATAGACTGGTCTTTGGCCTGATCCAGCTTAACTCCCCTTATTACTGAAATAGTTATTTTTAGTTGTGATAGTTGAGATATTATGCACCTATAGAAATGACTTTTGCTTTACCTGGTCTAGGCTGCATCTTTACATGTCTCCCAACATTAATAAATATGGTACAACTGTCAATATTTTTCTTCTTTTTCATGCAGTTCTTCATTCCCTGTCTTTTTCACACACAGAGTCCCACCCAGAGATTCATTTTATCTATCTAACATGCATATTAGAAATCTCTTCATCCAATCTTCAGTATCTGGTGTTTGCCACTGCTTTGGTTTCTTTCTCTAGCAGATTTATTTAACAAAAATAGGCAAGAACAAGGGCTGAGCTACTGTCACAACAGTTATTTATGTACATTATGTAAAATATAAAACAAACCAATTGTTTTTTTAAAAACCCTCTGTGGTCACAGTTTAAATGTTACTTCTCAACTTTATTGCCTTTTGGAATAATGACAACTGACTAATTCATTTTTGTAAATAAAAATATTTTTCATACAAAAACATTTTTAAAATATTAACAACACATAAAATTTACCTCACACTCCAAAGCTTCAGAGAGCATCTTCCGTGCATTCTGACGGAGTTTCTCTGTTTTGGGGTCACTCCTCACTTCTATCGAGGGTCTGTCTGAATGGTCCTTAATAAATGTCCTCCACTCAGAATACACCTCCTTGGCAAGAGCAGCAACATCTTTGTCTGGATGCTTACGCATCTTATTCACTGTATGACCTTGCAGAAATGAAAGATAAATGGATTCTGAATGCATAATGTATAGGATTATAGTAACACAGTACCTTGTTACCCTGAGTGGAAGATCTGAAGACTTATAACATTATTTTACACACACACACACAACTAGGAGCCAAATGCTGTGATAAAAAATAGCAGCAGCCCAGAGAAAAAAGCCTAAATTTTGAGGTATTGATATTTAGCTCCTTTGACAGCTATTTCCAGAATGATTATCTCTGCTATTGGCCATTGATTCAGAGGGGCAGCTGGAACATCTGAAGTCTGTGGAAAGTTTGTTCTATAAACTGCATTAGGAACTCCTCTTAGTAGAAGTAGTTTAAATGCTGCAAATAAATACAGGTATATAGATATAGATATATCTGTCTGTTACTGTATTACATAAAAAGATTGAATGTATTTCTACCAAATTTTAATCTATATATTTATTATTTATTTTGGAAATATAAATATTATCATACAATGTACAAAAACAATAATCCCCCCAGACTTATATCATTATATATCAATTTAAGCTAGTTTCTCCCATTCTCCCCATTGCAAAACAACAACAATAGAATAGAAATTATTTTAATATAGACAACATTTACTTGAAGTGGCCATGCAGCATCCCAATTATTTTTTCATTCAAATGGAATAGTATGTTTGGCAGCTGATCTGAGGGAGGTGCTCTCTCAAAGACAACTGAAATAAATGTGCAATATAAGGAACACCCAAAGAGATAGGCAGACATCCTCCACAGAAGTTGAAACTGAATGGTTTTTAATAATGGTTCATTATTCTCTTAGGAGCACTGAGCACTAACAGTAATAAGTACCATATATACTCTAGTATAAGCCGACCCAAATATAAGCCGAGGCACCTAATTTTACCACAGAAAACTGGGAAAGCGTATTGATTCGAGTATAAGCCTAGGGTGGGAAATGCAGCAGTTACTCATAAATTTCAAAATAAAAATAGATGTCAAAAAATTACATTAATTGAGGCATCAGTAGGTTAAATGTTTTTTTAATATTTACTGTATTTCAAAGAAAAACGGTAAACTAGCTCTGTAAGTGGAAAAATAGGATCAACAAAAACAATTTGGTATTAACAATAACTTAACAACAACAACAACAACAACAACAACAACTTCGTTTGTATCCCACCCTATGCCCCCATGAGGACTCAGGCTGGCTTCAAACATAGTAACAGGTAAACATTCAGTGGCTATATAAACAATGCAGAACTAGATATAGATCTATAATTATATATACTAATTTTCACATATACATTTCCCCCTGAAATGTTTGCAAATCCTCTCTCTCTATATGTGCATTTCCCTCCTACAATATTTACAAGTCCTAAATATATATCCTTATATCTATCTAAACATCTCTATATATGTGTGTGTGCATTTCCCCTGCAATATTTGCAAACCCTATATATCTATATTCGTATCTATATAGAAATGTCTATATATATTTGTGTATGCATTTCCACTGTAATATCTGAAAGCCCTATCTATCTATATCTATCTATCTATCTATCTATCTATCTATCTATCTATCTATCTATCTAGACATCTATCTATCTAGACATCTATCTATAGATAATTATATCTAAATAAAATTTGCAAAGACTTGCAAGCATGTGAGATGAAAATTAATATATAAAATTAAAGTATATAGATAGATACAAATAATATATAGGTACATAGGGATTGCAAAGGCTTGCAATATATTTGTAGGATATATATCTGTAGGAGAGATTAACAAATATTTCAGAGGAAAATGCTTTTTATCAGATTAATGGATGTTCCTGACTTGCAAGGGCTTCTTTCCCTCAATGGCCTCCAGGCTCCAAAAAAGCGTTGAAAAACTTCTTATCTTTGAGTATATATATATATATGGTCCATAAATATTGTGAATGTAAGCTTTTTAGAGGCAGAGATGGGAAAAAATGTAGAAGTCTTTTCAAAAGTGCCTGAAAGAACTTTTTTTCTGGGGCTAGTCATATTTAAATTAACATTATTTTAAAACATTGTCAAAAATATTTTTAAAGGGACCACTTCAAAAATGTTTCAGTTTATTCCCACCAAACATGGTGCATACTTCCAGAGAAAAATTAAAATTCTTTACCTATTTTTGTTGAACGTAAAACTTCCTTGGAGGGTATTTTCTTCTTTAATTCCATTAAGGCCTCTATTAGGTTCTCCTTAGGCTGCTCTGAAAGCTCTAGCATAGCTTTCCATCTTTTTATATCTTCAACAACCACAACTCTCTAGGAGGGAGAATCATCATTAGGAGACAGAATAGACAGAAGTACTTATTGCAAATAAATTTATTGCGCTTTGTGTCATCTAATGCAGCTGTTATTGAGCTATAAATTATTGATGATGACAGGCAGTCACGTACAGAGAACTTGATAATCCAAACAGATGAATGCTTGTTTCACAGCAAGTCTCTGATGTAAAGCAAGTGAGCAAGATCTAGAAAGCAAAATCAACTCATTAGCCTGCCAGCTTCAATTCACTTACTATTCTGAAATGAGTGTTTTGAGCAGGCATTCCTTATTTTTTTTAGAGTTCTTCTAAACTCCATGGGCTGGTAGTGAAAGAAGGGGATAGGAAAGCCTACTTGACCCCGTTCTCTTTAGTGGATGGGATGCCTGGCTCTCAGGCCACTCGAATTGAATCCTTAACAAATCTTTAAATCCTTCTGATTGGTCAAAGGTTTGGGAGAATGGAATAGTGTATATAGATAAAACTAGCAAGGAGGCAAAGGGGGTTGTTTTGTATATATTCAAGTAATTTCTGACTTACGGTAGCCCTAATGAAAAACCAATCACAGAGTTTTCTTACCAGAATTTATTCAGAGAGGGTTTGCTTTCTACCTTTCTGAGATGTTTTTAAACAACTGACTTTAAAGTAGATGTAACTGTTTTCACTGTTTGTACATATTTACAGTTATTTTATGTTCAGCATGGAATGCTTGCCGTATAAATGCTGTGCTCCACTCTGAGTCCCCTTTGGGGTGAAATAGTGACTTACCCAAAGTCACCCAGTGTGTTTCCATAGCTAAGCAAGGATTGAAAAAAGTTCGAAGAGATTAAGGTGCCTACTATACTTGCCACAAGCTTTTAAAGTACAAGTTTTTAAGACCAAGCTAAGAGGTGCTGTGTTTTATGCAATTTAATTGAGTTAACAATTTTATTGGTTTTAACTATGCATTTGTAATATTCCTATATTGAATTCTATTTTAATGTTTATATGTTTAGGTGATAATTGACACATTGTTATGATTCTTAGTCTTAGCCATTTTGTGTCTCCTTTGGGAGAGAAAAAGTGGGATATAAATATATTGGAGGAGGAAGAAAAGAGGAAGAGTTATTCTTAAACCTAAATTTCCAGTCTTCCTTTCAGTTTTGGTTTGGCTAAAATCTCCTTCAAATGTCCCATCTTTATATGTTTCTCCAAATGTGAGCCAGTGTCCCAATAGTGAATTTTGATAATATTAAGCTGATCCGACACCATCACAATTCACTTTTGTGTTGTTGTGAAGATCGAAATTCTGTTCTAACTATGCAGCAACTAAAATCTTCCGCAAAATCTACCTTGTGAGCAGTGCTGCCCCAGTCTTCCCACCCTCCCCTCAACATGGCCATTTCTGTGTCATCAGAGAATGGAGGGAATTAAATGAGGATACTTCTATCTATTCTCCTATAGCAGGACACGCTGCAAGAATGTCATCAACAGAGTATTGTGAAAATCCATAAAAGTCCCTATGGACGTCTCAAATGTGGCCATTTTGTATTGTCAAGAGAGTGGAGGGAATCAATTAGGACAGTTCAGTCTATTCTCCTATAGCAAGACACAATGCAAGGATTGTCATAAACAGAGTATCCTGAAAGCCCACAGAAGTCCCTGAGGTTGTCAACCACAGCACATCTAGCCAAAGCAAAATACAGGCAGCCCGCAAGTTACACACAGAATAGATTCTGTAAATTTGTTCTTAAGTTCAATTTGTATGTAAGTTGGAACAGGTACATTTTAAGCATTTGATAGCATAGGGAAGGGTTAGCAACACTGTGGTGTTTGTCTTGCTGTCTGTGCCCCTGTTCAGAAGATTTTCCCTCACTTTCTGTCCCTGTGTTATTTGGATTTTGAAAAACTTGGCTTGTTCGAGAAACAAGGATTGGTGAGAAAGCTTCAATGGAGACACCTTTTGCCCATGAAAACTCTTCCAGGAGTGAATTTCCCTTCTGGTGGGTAGATTTATTTCACTTCCTCTTGTCTCACCCCTGGTCTTAACTATAAATCATTTGTAAGTCAGATGTTTGTAACTTGGAGACTGCCTGTTTGTCCTCACTGATTCCCCTGCTCTATTACAATACGGAAATGTCTGTGTTGTAGAAGCTGTACTGTAAATAAATTGAGCCTAGGGAGCTGTTCAGCAGAAGAACTTTCTGCTCCGGAGTGTGGTGGAGGCGGCTCCTTCTTTGGCAGCTTTCAAGCAGAGGCTGGATGGCCATGCCTTCCTGCATGGTAGGGGGTTGGACTGGATGGCCCATGAGGTCTCTTTCGATTATATGAACATATAACACAGTTATCTGTGGACTGCTTTCCTGCACACCTCAGAGAAAGCATCTTCACAAATCATACTTCCAATTTTTCCACCAATTATTTCCTAGCTACTTTTTACCAAAAAACCTCCAAATGTCTCTATTTTAACAAGCTTATAAGCTGGCATGATGTACTGACGTTATATTTGAACTGCAGCCCAAACTGAATTTTGGGGACTGCAACTGCAGGACAGCTCTAGTATACAGTATGTGGCAGCTACAGTATATGATATATGTTACTAAATGATTTAGCAACACTTAATAGTTCACTGTGTGACATTTAGTTAAGGATTCTGTCATCGTGACTTCAAAATACCGCCCTTCATTTGTCATTTATGTTTCAGAGTTCTGGTTGTCCTATATTTCTCTGAAAATAGCTTCTGTATTGTTATTTCTATCCTCAGAACCTGTTTGAAGTACAAATTAGTTATGTGAAATGCAAGAAAAACTATAAAATATTACATGATGCCTTTAAAACCTTTTTTAGAATTTGTTTATCTTCTGTAAGAAATCTTACCTTCAGAGACTCTATAGTGACTTGCTTGTAAGTTTTTTCTCCACATTCTTTCTTCTTTGGTTGGCCTTGAGTTTTGGATGTTCGTATAACAAACTTATCCATGACTCAATTCTGAAACAGGTAAGAAACATACTTCTCTGTAGAAGGGGAAATTATTTGTTTATTTATTTACAATATTTCTATCCCACCCATATCAGCCCAAAAGCGACTTATAAGATCTGAAGTTGATATTTACTATGCAGTTAAAAAGCATAGTGGCTATTAACCTGAAGATATAATGGAAATAAGAAAGGAGAGTTGGAAAGGAAAAGGCTTCTGTGCTCTGTAATGGCCATTTTGGGATAAGGTCACAGACCATCAGAGTGTCTGGATTATAAATATATTATTGTAGAAAGCATACCTATGATACATTAAATATAGGTTATTGTACATAACATACATATGATCTGTTCACCAGATCATAAGCATTCTAACCAACAGAAACAATAGGTTGGTGTAGATTTATGGTTAAATTCCTCAAACAAAGGTGTGAGGTTTGGAGTCATGCCTTCCGCTCTTGGCATTCAACTCCCAAGGACAGTTATTACCAGGAGTTCTCCACTCTTTTTTTGTCAATCAGTGAGTGTGTGTCAAAGTATATATGTTTGTTTGTCTTCCCACAAAGGCTGTTGCTACAAGAAATGGGTTTTTGTGATATCCCTGGGAAAGAAAGGTGATATGTATATGAGAAGAAGGAAGGAGAGAGCCACAAAGAGAGCCTTGTTGCCATGGAGACATTGTGAAGTAGGTCTTCTTAAAGTTGGAGAAGGGAGAAAGGGGAGAGGGGGAAAAGAAAGGGAAGGAAGGGAAAAAGAAGGGAAAGGAGGAAGAAAGAAAAAGAAGGGAAGGAAAAGAAAGAGGAAAAGATATGAGGGGAGGGAAAGAGAAGAAGGGATGAAAGCCAGTGTATAACACAATGGAAAGAAAAATTGTGAATAGGATCAGAACTGTAACTGGAAACTATCTATGCTATGTTAGTTAAAGGAAAGATGACACTGCCGTATTGTCCATAAAGCAAAAAAAATCAAAAAAGCAGAATTAAGTTGAGAGTCAGCATTGGTGCATGGTTTCAGCCCTGAACTATGGCTCAGTCACAGAAACCCAGAAGAAAACAAAGGTAATTCCCTCTGAACAGATCTTGCCAAGAAATCCCTGTGATAGGTTTCACCTGAGGGACTGAAGGCACACATCAATAACTAAAATTAACAGGTTCTTTTTCTGAACCCTCAGCAGTCACCTTTCTTTCAACGTCATTGTTATAAACTGATGTTTGCTTTTCTTTGTATGTTTTTCCATTTTGTTGTTGCATCACTGGGTTGCTGTAAGATTTCTGGGCTGTATGGTCATGTTCCAGAAGCATTCTCTCTAAATATTTCACCCGCATCTATGGCAGGCATCCTCAGATGTTGTGAGATCTGTTGGAAACTAGGTGAGTGAGGTTTACCCTCAACCTCTGAGGATGCCTGCCATAGATGTAGGCAAAATGTCAGGAGAGAATGCTTCTGGAACATGGCCATACAGCTCAGAAATCTCACAGTAACTCAGTATTTCCATTTTGGAAAGGTGCCTTCAGTCCCAGTTCTGGGAAATGATATTGTTGCGAACCTTCAAGTCACTTCTGATTTATGGCAACTCTGAGACAAATCTATCACAGCATTCAAAGCAGAATATAAACACATCCTCTGTGGGTTGAACATTCCTTTTCTGAAATGCTTGGATTTTGAAACTATGAATAAGAGATGCTCAATTTCTACTTATACATTGTGGGTCAAAAGTCACAAAGAAATTGTAGTATGTAATAACTCCTTTATTTTCTTGTTATTAAATTTACAGTCCCATGGCATCATTATACACAAGAAATAGGTCTACATTACATTATGTGTAAAATAGTGTTTATTTTTATTTGCAAAAACATCAGGTGCCTTTGTGACATGTGTCCCATCCTATGCATGAGCAGAACCCAAAACCAGTTTTTAATGCAGATTAAAATGGGAACACGAACATAAATAAAAACAAATTAAATAAACCATCACACGAAAAACAAAGGCCAAATAGGAAAAAGAACAATACATACACACAGTAAAAGACCATTTCAAGCAATCCCTGTAATATCCCATAGGTATACCTGTGTTGTTTTTGGTGTTGTATTGTTTTGAATGTTGTTCACCTCTTTGGGTCTCTTTTTAGAGGGGAAAAAAGCAAGACAACAACAACACAGCATACATGTTGAACTGTTTCCTGTTCCAAGGAGCTGTTAAAGGCATAAAAGTCCAATCCTGGGACATATATTATTTAAAGGCAAAAAAAGATGAGGGGCGACACTCCAACAGGCTGCCCAGACTAAAGGGGCGAAGCTGGGCCTTTCAATGGGAGCTCAAACATCCCCCTGGCTGTAGTTCCCAGGCGCCTCTCTTCCCAGCCGCTTGGACTGCATTTCCCGACAACCCTTGCGCCGCACAGTCTTCCGGGCCTGAGACGTCATCTTCTTTTCCAATCCCCGCCCACAATCTTGATCCTAGAGATAGGAAAAAATAGAACACTCCCAAATAAAAATGGAAGTTTCCTGTTTTTGGGGTTTTTTTTGCTCTTTCTTCCCAATTTTTAACTAAACTGTTTTAATTGTTTCTTATCCCTTTAAGATTGTGTTGGAATATTTGAATGCTGTAATAGTCTAGTATTAAACAGATGGTGTACTTCCACACTAAGGAATACAATTTGACACCACTTTAACTGCTATGGCTCAATGCCATATATGGAATTCCAAGGCTTTTGACCTTCTCTGCCAAAGAGGCCTAATGCCTCATGTGCCGTCGCGCCTGGGGCTATAGAGAAAGAGGCATGGACGTGACTTCTTTCCCCAGGGGGTTGCTTCTTGCCCTCCTTTAGGGAACTGGAACTCCCAAGGACCAGAACACAACAGTTAACTTGAAATGGTGTTTATTGTTAACAGTTCTCTTTCTTTGACACAAACTTTGTTTCAACTGGGAAAAAATACTTTGTAAACTCTAAGTCCAGGGTCCCAGGAGTAATAAGCTGAGAAGCTTTTCCTGTTCCCTCTCTCAATGGCTGTGGATGCCGGAGCAAACCACAACCCCAGTTCAGTGGCCTAAATTGAAGGACAAGACCTTCCTATGATGCCAAAGAACTGGWYTGAYGGCGCCTGAGGTCTTCACAWMTRRYTTCAGGGWGGTRTGAACATAAAGAATAAGACTCAGGGGTKATAAACRTAAGAACTGGTAGTAAAAAATGCCTTGACCAGGGYCTTTTGGGCCAAGCTTTTGGACACGTCCATCCAATGAGTCTTTTWCTGAGGTAAAAAYGGTGAGHGAGAYACCTTCRCTTTCTCCCHTGGAAGGGYCYYAGCCTAAACAACWGAACTMGGGAAACAAYRCAATTYGRGDACAACAACAKTAAATTGACAYRTARAYTAACCAATGAAATMTAACTATACATGTACAAGGTAGACAGAAATAAAATGGCAGTTTAAAATCCTGCAACTAACAGTTCAAAATATATGAGGCGCCACACGCGCCGTCACACCTCACCAAACTAGAAATCCCAGTGTTAAGGCAGGCCTTCTTTTAAAGGAACTGTGGCACAGCTGGCTGGGAGTCAGCTGCATTAAGATCACTACTGACTGAAAGGTCATGAGTTCGAAGCCAGCCCGGGTCAGAGTGAGCTTCTGACCAATTTGTGTAGCTTGCTGTCGACCTTTGTAGCCCGAAATACAGTTGCATCTGTCAAGTGGGAAATTTAGGTACTACATATGCGGGGAGGCTAATTTAACTCATTTACGACGCCATGAAAGTCTCCAGCAAGCATGCAAAGAATGAGTAAGTACTTCATCAGTGTCACAAAGGGGCGGTGAAGCGACAGCTCCCCTGCTGGCCAGAATACCCTCATTAAAAAGCTGGAATGTTAAGTAGCCTCTGTGTGTCTGTCTATATATGTTGTGTGTCTATGGCATTGAATGTTTGAGTCCCCTGCGGGGTGAGAAGGGCAGAATATAAATACTGCAAATAAATAAATAAATAAATAATATTCCTGGCCTTGTTTCCCAATTAAGATCTGGCATGAGGAGATTATAATTTATTTATTTATTTTATTCATTTACCTTACTTATATACCGCTGTTCTCAGCCCGAAGGCGACTCACAGCGGTTCACAACAATAAGAGACAGCAGAATTCAATGTTACAGTATAAAAACAGTTATTAACTTACAAATTACAGAAGTTTTATTACTGCAGTAGAAAATGGTTGCCTTCTGGAACAGCCAGGTGTACCACACCGAACAAAGAAAATGGTGGCAACATTTATACAGCTATCAGACAATCACACAAAAACACACTAACATACTTTTCTTCTATGCCCATCCCTCTGCTCCTCCCAGTTCCACCTCCTGGTTGTCCCTCCCAGCTGCAGCACTGAGCAAGCCCCTGATTCTTCAGACTGAGCCTGTTGGGGTTCAGCCTGATCCTGATCTGTGTGAACAGGATTCTCTGATAGTTTTTCAAACTGAGCAAGCTCTCCCTGACTCTGACAGTGTGGAATCTGTTGTTGATGCAGAGGTCAGTGGGAATGAAAATGAAACCCAACAGTTAGAAGAGAATGTTTTGGAAGTTAGCCGTGATATCTCCCCACCTAGGCTTGATAATGAGGTCCGAAGAGAACAGATAGTCAGAGATAGATTTGTTTCCCAGTCTGTACGAAGGTCACAGCGCCTTCAGCAGAAAGAGGCCCAAACAGAAAAGTCAAGGGGCGTTTCTAAGAATAGCTTCTTTGGTTTAAGAGCATCCCTGCCGGGTGCTTCTTTAGGTCAAGCAATGTTCGGGACTGTGGCTGGTCTTGGCAGAATTCCTGTGTTCCATGGCCAGTAATCCCAGAGGCTTGTAGTTTCCAAGTTCATGGTTAGTAAAAGGCTAACAGACTCCTGGTTATTGTTTTGTGGCTTTTGAAGTTTTGCTCAAGTTCAGAGATCCTATTGACTACTGTGTTTTTCTGTGGCTTTTTTACTCTGCATTTACCTTTCTTTTGTAACCAATTTTTCATCAATAAACAAGGATCCTACAGTCCAGAGTGGTGGATTTAATCTTATGGTCTTGTTTCTTGAACTGGGATGCAACAGAGCCCTATTGTTTATTCAGAGTTTGCAACTGTCATATACTGTTATTATACTGTGAAATTATACTGTTTAGTTTAGCACCACCTGATACCCGTCGGGAAGTAGGAGCCAGTAATGAAAGACCCAAGCCATTGACATCTCTGACCCATCCTCTGTTCGGATTTCACCCAGCATGCCAATGCCTTAAATCAAGAAACAGCTTCCTGAGATCTACAGAGATACTCGTAGCAATCCCTCAGCAAGTGAGAGTCCAAAAGTGGTAGGTTAAAACCTCAATAAGTAGCTCATACCGGATGACAAACCCCCTTCTGACCAGACAGAAGACTGGGCGACTTGGAAGACGCTGAACAGACTGCGCTCTGATACCACAAGATGCAGAGACCATCTTTAGAAATGGGGCTACCAAGTGGAGTCCATAACATGCGAGTGTGAAGAAGAGCAAACCACAGACAACCTACTACAATGCAATCTGAGCCCTGCCACATGCACAATGGAGGAACTTCTTACAGCGACACCAGAGGAACTCCAAGTGGCCAGCTTCTGGTCAAAGGAAATCTATCTAACATCAAGTTTTTAACTTTGTTTGTGGTCTTTTCAATACATTGTAACTGTATTCTCAGTTTGCTTCCGACACAGTAATAAAATGTCTTATCTTTATCTGTTACTTCCCAAGCCGAATTTAGCCTTGACTTGAATGAGTCCTGAATGTCTCTTTGTTTGCAAAGCCTTTCTCTTGATGTAGTGCTGAACCACATTTCAAAATTACCATTAATGCAGAAATTATCCTTCTAACAATTATTAAAAATGATATTTCAGCCAGCTGCATCTTCATCAGAATAACAAAGCATTCATGACAGTTAAAGTGATTTCAACCTGCATTGATCCTACAGTGTTATGGACCTCATCACACTCTATCCACTTTAAATCCGGTTGCTGCCTCCTGCAGGATTCTGAGCTTTATAGTTTAGGGAGGTCCTTTGAACTGCCCTACCAAAGAAATCCAGGGCCTTCCTAAACTACAAATCCCAGATATCTGCAGAAGACAGAAAGTGGGTAGATGCTCTATTGCAGGCATGGGCAAACTTTGGCCTTCCAGGAGTTTTGGACTTCAGTAGGCTGTTAGGAATTGGCCATGCCTGCTCTAGTGTGATGGGATCTTAGATGCACCTCTAGAAATGTAATATTGTGGGGGGGGGGGGGGGGGTTCTAATTCAGAATTTCCAAGTGGAAAGCATTACAAAATTCCCCTTTGCTATCAACCCATTATCTCCATATTACAATCTGAATCCCTGTGTGGGAGGAAGCCCCATTAGGTGGCATTTTAAAAATAAAAATCTAATTGTATTGTCGAAGGCTTTCATGACTGGAATCACAAAAATCCAATTGTTTACTGCTGAATAACATCAAACCCTAAAGCGGTGTTATGAAGAAACCCGCAAGTGACTTGCCTCATATGAGTCTACACTTTGGTCTATGTGCGTTTGGAAGGCGGAACCGGAAGCCGGAAGCGCGGCAGAGCGGTTGGCAAAAAATAAACAACCGTCTGGCTGTGGCTTGGAGACAAAATGGCGTGGGCGCGGCTGAGCCGTTTAGGGCCGGGGCCCTTCCTCCTCTTCCTGCTCTCTTCCTTCCTGGTCTGCGAGGGGGCTAGGGGGGCCGAGGCGAAGCCCTCTCCGCTCTCGCTGTCGGAGGCCTTTGAGCCCGCGCTGGGGAACACGGCGCCCTGCCAGCGGACCTGCCAGGACACCTACCCGCTCCATACTTACCCCAAGGTACAGAAAGCCCGAGCCCCCTCCTCGCCCAGAGCAGCCTACTCTACAGTAGCCATGGGCAAACTTGGGCCCTCCCTCCAGGTGTTTTGGACTTCACCTCCCACAGTTCCTAACAGCCTCAGGCCCCTCCCTTTTCCACTTCAGCCGCTGAAGCTGAAGGGGAGCTCATCTGGAAACTTGGAGTTCGGTGTCATCTGTACTCAGATGAAACACAATTCTATTGCAGTCATTTCCACCGCAAGCCAAAGAAGCCCCCCGAGTCCTGAACCAGTGCCTAACAGCTGTGATGAGCTGGATGAGGGCTAACAAATTGAAGCTTAACCCAGACAAGACCGAGGTCCTCCTGGTCAGTCGCAAGGCTGATAGGGTGTGAACCTGTGCTTGGTGGGGTTACACTCCCCCTGAGGATGCAGGTCTGCAGTTTGGGGGTTCTCCTGGACTCGGCGCTGACGCTTGAAGCCCAGGTGACAGGGAGGGCTTTCGCACAATTAACACTTGTGTCCCAGCTGCGGCCGTAAAGCCAGGCTTGGCCACATGGACCATGCCTTAGTTACATCTTGTATGGATTTTTGCAATGCACTCTATGTGAGGCTGCTTTTGAAGACAGCCCAGAGGCTTCAATTAGTGCAAAGATCTGTAGCCAGACTGCTTATTGGGGTGGCTTGTAGGGAACATATGGCTACCCTCTTAAAGCAGCTCCATTGGCTACCAATTTCTTTCTGGGCCCAATTCAAAGTGCAGGTTATTACCTACAAAGCCCTATATGGCTCAGGACCTGCCTGTTTACATGATCACATCTCTCTTACAGTTACTCAAGTCACTCCTTACCCAAAAAACATATCTCTATGAATCTGCACGGATCTTAAGATCATTGGGGGGGGGGCTCCTCTCAATCCCACTCCCCTCACAAGCGAGGGAGAGGGCCTTCACGGTAGTGGTCCCCCAACTCTGGAATGTTCTCCCCAAGGAGATAAGACAAGCACCTACTCTTTTAACCTTCAGGAAGGAGTTAAAACTTGGCTATTTACAGACTACTGAAAGCAAGAACCAAAAATGTAAGCTTTCTAGGGAGGTGTGATCAGTCATAGTCTAATGGTAAAAAAAACCCTACTGTACCACAGTAGCACTCTAACAAAGCCTACTAAGTACAAATTAGCTCATTCTGTATCACTGGATAGTCATTTGGTCATTATGCTGACAATGATTTTAAAATCAATCTGCCAGTGACAGGGACAAAACTCACTATAATAACCTTGTGCTCTGGAATGCAAACGGCAACTTAAAACTTTAAATATTCGCTCAGAATCATGTGATAGTAAATTGAGGGTTTTAAAAAATATTTCAGGACTGATGCTCTGTTTACATCATCTTAGAAGTTGAAACTATGCAGCACATTGTGTATGTTTTTGGGGAGTAAATTGTTTAGATAAGTGTTTGTCTTAGTAGAATAGTAATAAGTAGTGATTCTGACTTGTTGGTATTTAAGGAAGAAGAGCTGTATGCATGTCAAAGGGGTTGCAGGCTGTTCTCCATTTGCCAGTTTGCAGATGATGGAATTGACTTGAATCAAACCAAGTTGGAATGTGATTCTGGTAAGATGTCTTTTTCAGTCCATAAAAGTGACCCTGTACTGTAGTGGACATGACCACAAAATTGCTGCTATCATGTCCATTAACAAAAGAAATGTAACTATACCCATAAACTTAAAACAAATGTGGAGATTGGGTTTGAATCCTAAACACTGTCTCGCACTTAGTTCCCACTTACAAAGAAGGGGGGGGGGGGAGAGAAAGGGGCTACATAACATCTAGTAACAAAACCAAGAAAACGGTAAAACAAGGACTAATTTTATGCTAAGCAGTTTGCTTGCATCTTTTCTAGTTTTTGAAGTCATATTTTGAAATAGTATTTATTGAAATATTACTTCCTTCACCATATCACAAGATTGCTAGATGACTTACCTTTGAAGCCTTCAGTGTTGCATTCTTTTATATTGAAGATAATAACTTACCCAAATGACCTAGAAGACATGTCAGCATTGGTGGCTCAATTTCATCTAACCTCCTGATAAAATTTACAGTAAAACAGCTTCTGTATCAGTGGTTCAATATTTCTAGGGGCAGGCTCTAAAAACAATGGGAATTAAGTTGTATCATCTTTTGATCAACTAAGACTGCACATTAAACTTTACAATGAAGGTGCGTTGGATTTAATCCCAAGATAAGGAGGTTATCCTGTATAAAAAAGATTTGATTCCCGGAACTTTACTATCCAAGCCAAAGCTAATTTAAATACATCGGGAGAGGTAGAGCTCCTTGGACAGTGGGCGAGACTGCTGGTCCCTTGGATACTGCAATGTTGCTTGAGGTACTAATTGAGGAGAAACAACTTTATAGTTGGTAAACATCAAGTGGGTCCAGCCTAATAGGGAAACTTTCAAAAGAGGATCATACATGAACAGTGAATATAAAGGTGATTTTTAAAGGATAAAATAAATAAACCTGCACAATATCTCTAAAACACACGGTGACATTATGTTCTAGTAAAACTGGTTTCTGTAATATAGTTTTATAGTTTAAACAGACATAAAGCCTACTGAATCTAGTAGTGTTCACTCCCAAGGAACAGAATATAAGAATGTGATTTCCTAGATTTCATGGGGTTTTCTTAGGCAAGGAATACCCAGAGGTAGTTTTGCCAGTTCCTTCCTCGGAAAGAGAGTGTAGTGCATCTGGTATTCATAGATTGTTTCCCATCTTAGTTTCTAAGGTAAAATAGGATCAGATTCCTTTACAGAAGTAATATTTTATTTGCCTCTTTCTACAGTGTTCAAAACTGCAGCTATGAGAAGTTGCATCCCACTGGCAAAACTAGTCCCAACAGCCTAGTGGATTGCTAGTTATTTTTTGTTCTTTTCTTTTTTAGTATTTCTGTTACTTAGTTCTGTTTTTTTAAAATAACGACTAGTACTGTTCAAAATATAATATTGGTTTTGCATGTTCTATTAGTGTCACAACCTGTCACCAACACTAACATGATATATGTTACTATTAATTAGAAAGACATAGCCTTTAGAACTGAGGTAATGCCTGTTCTTTTACAGCTTGTTCTGAGGCATATGCCTCGCAGTCTGATGAACAGTATGCTTGTCATCTTGGGTGCCAGAATCAGTTGCCATATGCTGAACTGAGGAGAGAACAAGTAAGTACCAGTTTGATGTTAAAATTAATCTCTTTCACTATATTTGTATTTTCTCAATTCATATTTTGTAATAGTCTGTCGCCTAGTTTGGTTGATTTTGTTGTTGCCGTGTACTATATATTAATCTTAAAAACAGTTTTTAAAACCTCAAACTGTTTGCAGCTCATGTCCTTGATGCCACGGATGCATCTTCTCTTTCCTATGACATTTGTGAGATCATTCTGGAGTGATATGATGGAAACAGCCCACAGCTTCATTACCTCATCATGGACCTTCTATCTTCAAGCTGATGATGGCAAAATACTGATATTTCAGGTACTTGCTACTTTATTACAAATTTCAAACAACAAGGAAGAGGAAGGAATGATTCTTTTATAAACCCAAGTACAGTGTGATATCCATGTGATATTTGGAAACATTGCCTTCTGAAGTCTGAATTTAGGGTATAATATGTGTGTCCATTTAAATGTGCCATTCTGTATTTGGTGACTGGTGTTTATCTTTTATATCAATTTGAAATTTTCTTTTTCTGCTCTTCTTCTAGTCAAAGCCACAAGTTCAGTATGTTCAAAGCGCTGATCAGGAAAACCTGGATTTAAAAGGATCATCACTTAACAAAGCAGCTCGTAAGTTATCTGAAGAAGCGGCCTTATAGTAATAAATACAATTAACTAAAACTTAAAGCTATGATGGAGAGAGTGCAACCCCCCCCCCCACCACCCACCCACCCCAGGCAGCTTTATATCCCTAGTCCCTTGAATCTTTCTCCACTCCAAATGCACAAACTCACCAAAAGTGTGTTATGATTTTTCAGTAGATCTGCCGCCAGGAAGTCCACAGATTCACAAAGGATTCTTTGACGAGGATGAAAGTGATGGCTTCTTCAAATGTATTTCAGTGTATGTATATCTTAGCCTATGTCCTCCATTTAATAAGATTTTAACAAAACATTTATTAAATTAGCCATCTGACAGTGCTGTAACTAATATGTTCTCTGAAAACCACATGACTCATTCATAGGATCCCATCCTGTTCCATATGCTTCACATGGCTTTCATACCAAAAGTACAAAACATGGTTTCCAAACCCAACCAATTCTGTAATATTGTGGTTTTATTATTATAAAGCCAAATCTAAGCAAAACTGTTGGTCCATATAGAACTTGGTCAATTAATTTGAGAATACAAAATGCTAATTCTGGTAATCTGATGAGATGTAATGTGTTTATTGTTTAAAAGAGAAGGGTTTTAAAGCAAAGTTATAGCCATGCTTTAAACGTTAGCTTTAAGATCACAAAACGAGTAGCCATCTTTTCCTAATTTGGATAAAATGGGAATGTATGTTTAGCTGAGGTTTTCCAATTTTCAATCGGGCATATTGAGAAACAGTAGATGGTAGGGAGATCATACAGACACAATACTTGTTGGTTAGTTTATTCTGATGAGATACATTGTTGGTGGGTTCGTTTGACTATTTCACTTAAGCAAATTATGGGAGTATCTTTTATCTAGTTGCTTTTCTGAAATGTAAAGCAATTGATGTAGGATTGGTTTTAAAATACTGCCCAATATGGATAGCTGTAGGAAAGTTTTAGAGACAGAGAAATGTAATTTCTGTATGCTTCAAGCTCACCTTCATATAAATATCTATAAACATCCTATTTCCTTATGTTACAGAAATTCTGGTTGGATATTAACAACCACCCTTCTCCTCTCTGTCCTGGTGTTGCTCTGGATTTGTTGTGCAACTGTTACTACTGCTGTGGAACAGTATGTTCCATCTGAGGTAAGGTTAATTCCAAAATAGCAGGCGTCTTGCCTCGTTATATTCACTGGTATGCTATGGTTTTGAGAGAGGATCAAGATGTTTCTTAGCAGAAAAGATATAATCTAATAATCTTGCTGTTAGCCTCTATAAATAGCAATGCAAAACCGAATAATCGATTTCCTTTAGTAAGAGGATGTTCATAGCTAACCTCCTGAGGAATGGCTTATTCAGGAAGTGGGTTTCCTGTAAGCCAGTTCAGAATATTCTGAACAAATTGAATGGACTAATAATTAGGGGGTTACTATACATTACATAACACACATACATGTATTGCTTTGTTTGATTAGATAAAAATTGGCACGATATTTTGGGATCTTATATAAAGCCATTAGAAAATTATGATGTCCATCTTATTAGCTAGGAATGTCGTGTCCAAAGTCTGTTCCTGTATTATAAGAGACTTTATTATTTTTTACTGATGCAGAAATAAACCATGTTAAGACAATTATATAGAAATGTGTTTACAACATACAGTTATTTCATTTCTAAAGGCCAACTTTCATAATCTTTTCGCTTTCCCATGAGTTTCTTGTCAATGAACTAAATGTTAGAACTCAGCCATACCCCAGAACAAGATTGTAGTCTTTTTATCAAGGACTTAGGCTCCTTCCACATTGCCCCTATCCCAGGATTTGATCCCAGATTATCTGGCAGTAGAGACTCATATAATCCAGTTTAAATCAGATAATCTGGGATCAGATCCTGGCAAATAGGGCAGTGTAGAAAGGGCCTTAGATAGGCAAATGACAAAAAGCCTTTACTCTATTGACCTCTGTCTGCCTGTTTTCTTTTCCCTCCTCATTACCTTGCTGGTTAGACTACGGGCCCTTTCACACAGCCATTTAATCCACAATATCTGCTTTGAACTGGATTGTCTGAGTCCACATTGCCATATAATTCAGTTCAATGTGGATTTTATACATCCTTTCTTTCGCATGTTTCTTCTAAAGTAATTTCCCCTGAGTATGACTGAACATATTCTCTTAAGCGTAGGATTATAGTTTTAATATGTATGCAACAGAACATAGGAGTAAAAGTAATGTCTAAAATTGCTTCAATCTGATAACATTTATTTTGTTGTTCTAGAAGCTGAGCATCTATGGAGACTTAGAATATATGAACGAACAAAAACTGAACCGATACCCTACTTCTGCACTCATGGTGGTTAAATGTAAGGCTGATGAACAAGAAGCAGGACCTCTACCTACAAAAGTCAACTTGACTCAATCATCAATATAGTGTTTGAAAATGGATTTGTTGATCTGATTCTTTGACATCTTGTTAACTCTGGAGATGTTTTCTTCCAGTGAAAGGGCCTGAGGAAGCAGGTGGTTTCATTGTTTAGATTAAAATAAAGTTGCAGAATCAATAACGGAAGGTTTTACTATCATGGAATTCAGTCTTTTCCACTAGAGTTGGTCAGGTGAGGTTTATAGTGCATTTACATTTGTCTGCATCCTTTTTTTGCTTACCATAGAATCATAAATATTGTCTATACATTGAGGTTGTGGGTATTTTCATATTAAGAATGCCTATTGGGATGTATATTTGAAATGTGTTTCAAAAACTGTAAGGAATGTTTTGGTAATAGAAGACGTCTTTTAAGTTGTTTTCAGTTGCGGATAAACTAACATGCAGAACTCGTTTGAGTACCTTTAGTACTTTGGATGGCTCTTTTCCAGAGATAAGAATCTATTCCTGTTCTAACTTCATGCCGATTTCTGCCACTGAAGTACTGGCAGTCAGCAATAAAACTTACTTAACATGTGTATATATTAAGGCACGTCTTCTGTGTTGTGTTCTAAAACAGCTGATTAAATTTAGATTATATTGTTTGCCTTAAGCTTTCCCAACTTTACATCTGCTATTTTTGTCATCTTAGTGTGGTGCTTCCATTTCGAGAAAGTTGGTTCCTAAAGAAACAATGTGGTTAACAGATTAAATATGATCTAAAATTCAACTTTAATTGGTGTATTATTTGACATGACTGTTTGTTATGACAAAGAACCATAGCCAGTCTTCATACCTCATCACATGAGATTAAAAAAATCCACTTAAAATCTGGTTTCTGCCTCCTGCAGAATTCTGGGGTTTGTAGTTTAGGGAGGAGCCTTTAACAGCTTCACTAAACTACAAACTCCAGAATTCTGCAGGAGGCAGAAACCGGGTTTAAAGTGGATTTTTTCTCTAGTGTGATGAATTGGTTAGGCTTGCATACTCCTTCCCTCTTTCATAATTTGCTCACCAGTGGTGGAAGTAAAAAGCTCATGTTTTCCATTTTAAATTAATCACCATACCCTTTATTAATAAACTGTGGTCAGTGAGAAGAAACTTGTTTATATCAACCCTGTTTGAAACAAATCCAGTACCCTGAGACCTGTTACAGAAATATGGTAATTTTCAATATCTCCCTTTGATTTTTAAAAGGAAATTGGAAAGTAGATAAGCCCAAAGTTTGCTGCAGTTCGTTGGAGTAATAATAATCCAGGATTTTCCACTATGAAAGGACCAAGCCGCTATTTATGCTGATTGTTCCTGGCTTATGACTTTAAAGGGCTTAATTACAATAAACAACAAAGATGAGATTTGCAATTAAATGTATTTATTCTCTGACAATTCTAAATTACTAATTGGTAAAAGGAGCTTTCAAGTTCCTTTATTTGTTTTTGATGTAATTCTATACATTAAAATATATTGCATTGGATATTTGTTGAGTCTTATTCATAAGGACTTCTGAAATGTTTGATAGCTACCTATTAACAGGGTTGCTGTGAGTTTTCCAGGCTGTATGGCCATGTTCCAGAAGCATTCTCTCCTGACGTTTTGCCCACATCTATGGCAGGCATCCTCAGCTGGACCACTCTAACAACTACCATGTCAGACTACACAGAGAAGCCACTGAAATCCACAAGCATGTGGACAATTTCACAAGAAAGGATTGAGCCATGAAAATGAACAAAATTTGGCTACTGGTATTAAAAAAGCTGTAAAATCAGAACAGTAAAGAAAGAACACTTAAAAACAGAGGAATTCCAGACAAGAAAAATCAAAGCCAGCTAATCACCTCCCAACAAAGGATTCCCCAGGCAAGAAGCAGCCAAGCCTTGAAGCTGCAAAGCTTTTCAGTGCTAATCAAGGTGATCAATTGCAGCATTCACACTTGCCTAACAGACAAGAGTTCTTTCTCCCTCCCTGGACATTCCACAGATATATAAACCCCGCTTGCCTTGCTTCCAACAAACCTCATATATGTATTGAGGTTTTTGATGCTGATGTTAATGATGTTAATGACTTGTGATGCTTTTGTTTTTAGATGCATAATGATTTTGTATCCTGTATATCTAAACTGTTGTAAACCGCTCTGAGTTGCCTAAGGGCTGAGGAGAGCGGTATACACATAAAGTAAATAAATAAATAAATAAACCTCTAAGTATGGCTGCCATAGATGTGGGCAAAACATTAGGAGAGAATGCTTCTGGAACATGGCCATACAGCCCGGAAAACTCACAGCAACCCAGTTATTCCAACCATGAAAGCTTTTGACAATACATATTTATTAATAGCTTAAAAATATATGAGGAAGGCTAAATACCTTTAGTCTGTTGAACCTTACCATGTTTTAAGTTACAGAACATATAAAAACAAGTATTCTGTGGTGAAAGGGCCACAATAAAATCTGAATGACGTACTGCTGTCTCTAAATGTCACTATATATTGTACATACGAATAAACAATCACAATAAAGTATATGATTCTGGAAACAGTAATAAAACTGGTGTTTTTAATCTAAAACAGCAGTCATCCAATATGTCCTCCTTTTATGATGAGGCAAACAGCAGTCATCCAATCTATAACAGCAGTCATCCAATATGTCCTTCTTTTATGATGGGGCAAAGAAAAGGGTGGTCTGGGGAGGGTAAAGGAACTGATGTCCACAGCCTGTTAAGTTTTTCTTCTAGGAAGAGATTGGCACTTCATTTCAATAGTAGGATTGTCTCCCAGTCCTGCAACTTTAAAGGTTAAGACCGCTAACACTGCAATATACAACAAAAACAAAAACAAATGCTGCTTCAAAGTAATTTTACTATGCATTGCTTACTTCAACTATTGTTGCTTCATGTTTTTTCCGGTTTCTGAATATAATGTTTATGACAGATTCGTTTGTGAAAAACGCTGAATTAAGCATTGCAAAGTTTAAATAAGCTAGAATTCATACTTCAGTCTAAAGACACATTGCTGCTATTTTGGGGACCAATATTATCGGACTCTACCTCTGACATTCATATTCAATAGCAAATCATAGATGACAGAACCATTTTTAGGGCTTTACACACTCTTCTTTAGTAGGAGACAGCAGTGTTGTCCGTTACCAATTCTTGAAATGTGCCATCATGCCTAATTTTATTTTTGGTTGCTCTTATATGCAAGTCAGTACTTTATCTGGCTCTTGATACCGATCAGAGAGGTGTGACCACCATAGCATGTTAATCATCATGTTTACTGTAACCAGATGTGAACCCATTTCCATCCCCAAAATCTTTTTCACATATTGATATCATCAGGATCACATTTGGATCTGCTCATACTAAGTAAAGTTCTACTGTGTAAAATGGCAGTTGATGTGATGAAGAATAACAAAACAGCATTCCTCAAATGCTGCATCAAGAAGAAAACGTACTATTTAATGTTTGCTTCAGTTGAGGTGTTCATGTGATGAGAGTTTATCCAAAAGACATGATTTTGAGTACTTCAAAACTTCAGAACCAACAAGATGCCATAAATTCAACCTGAGATGATTTAATAGTTTTAATTTGCTAAATTTAGTATACAGCAAGGTTCCTATTTGTTTTACCTTGTCCCCATTAACATGAAACTTACTAGCTGGCCTTATTTTTGGCATTTTTGAGTGGGATAGGATTGTTAAATGAAATCTCAATTGCAAAATAAACATGTTGATGTGTTTTTCTGAAATCCCTCATAGGTCTGATGTGTCATTTTATATCACCTATCACACCTGAAGTTGTCCCCCTGCAAGTGTCTTACAGCAGTCTGAAGGATTTACTAGTTTCTAAATTGTTGTGTCATGCTGTTTTTCAAATGCTTCCATCAGTTCCCTAGCATCCTCAATGCTGGGGAACTGAAGGGAGCTGCACTAAAAGATCCAATGTTTTACACCAGGATTGGTAATGCTCTTGCTCTGCAAATGTTATTTAAAAGCACATTCCATCAGTGTCAACGTAATCAATAGTGAAGAATTCTAGCAGTTGCAATCTAGAAACAGATCAATGCTTTAGGAGTTTGTGAAGATCAGAAAAGTATAAAATACTTAGTCATTTCTTAATTCATAGTAAACAGCTTTTGGTTAATCAGATTAGGAAGGTGGTTTGAGAAGTTGGATCCTTTCCACACTTTCATTTTTGAAAATTGCAGTGGTTTTGGGTGTTTAAATGAAAAAAAAAGCCATGAATGAACACTGAATTATTATACGATTAAATATCAGTCAACATATATGAACAGAAGATTTGCAGACTAATTTAATTTAAAGGTATCAGTTAAAATGGAACCTTATCTAAATATGGCTTTACAAAAAGTATACAAAAGGCTGGTTGCTATACCAAAAGAATTAATTTAAAGTTAAAAACAGTAACTGACAATCTTAAGGACCAGAAACAACTTTGGGTTGCTGTGAGTTTTCTGGGCTGTATGGCCATGTTCCAGAAGCATTCTCTCCTGACGTTTCGCCGACATCTATGACAGGCATCCTCAGAGTTGTGAAGTCTATTGGAAACTAGGCAAGTGAGATTTATATATCTGTGGAATGTCCAGGGTGGGTGAAAAAAATCTTATATGTTTGAGGCAAGTGCGAATGTTGCAGTTGGCCACCTTGATAGGCATTTAACTGCCTTGTAGGAAACAACATTATTTTCCCATCTACCATATCTGTAAAGATGCTGATGTGTTGCTTTGGAACATCAGTGGCTACTAATCCAAATGGTTGTATTATCACTTCCAGTATCAGTAGCAAAATACCTCTTTGCATCACTTGCTGGAGAACAGATTGCAGGTGAACTAACATTCTCCTTCAAAGCTTACTGGTTGGGAATGGTGTGACCAGAATGCTGGGTTAGATTGCCTTTCTGTCTGACCCATCACAACTCTTTTAAGTTCTTAAGTTAGTTAATATGTTCAGTTCCAGAAGGGTCTGAAGTATTAGCACAAAGTCCTTCATAATTTCTAGCAAAGCTGTAGGTAGGCAGATCATGCTATTTGTTTTTGTTATCACTTTTCTTTTCCTAGGCATGGCTGAGTTTAACATGACCCTTTTGTTCTTACATCTGTTTCTCTTAGTAGCTAGGTAACACTACCCCAAGAATGTATCTGTGGTTTGGTCTTATAAAACAAAACAGCTTGTAAAAGTTAGTTCCCCTTCCTGTACTAGCAGCATGATAGTTTGAACAGAGATGAACACTCAGTCAGATTAATTCCTACCTGTGAGTTAATATAACCTCTGAAGTAATTCAATGGGGAAAGATGACCAGAACTTACCCTCAGGTATTATTACACACTCTTGAAAATGATATTTGTAATTATTACTTTGAACATCAGACAAACACACAATTTTACTGCTTTTTTCTGTAATTTTTAACTAATGGATTGAATTAAAATTAAAATTTTAATTTCTGTGTGGTATTTGCATGTTGCTGAAAATACTCAGATAGGATGCATTTAAGTCAGCCAAGTTTATCAACCAAATATATTTGATTTAAAAGGCCAGTGGATGCAATTACTTCTTAGTGTCTCAGAGGCTTCCCCTTTTCAATAAGGTATGTATCTATTATTTTTTTAATTTCAGAATTTTGATGGAAGCTTCCTTGGTTCAGAAAAATCTCTCTCTACGACTAAAAGAGGTAATTGGGAGAAATCCACGTCCCATCTCATCTTTTAAAGGAGTCTATTTCATTTCTCTCTGTGCATCTGCTGTCTTTTCTCTCCTTGCATCTGCTGTCTTTTACTGTACACACATTTTCTTATTAAATACAGACACTTTTATAGTCCCCAAACCAAGTTAAATATAAATATTTACAGGAAATGGGCTTTGTGTTTCAGGGTAATGACATGTTATATGCTTCATAAAAGGATGTCAATTGTAATTATTCTCAAACAACTAAAGACAGGGAAGTGATGGGAGGCAGGTGGTTACAGAATTCGAGATTATCTGATTCTCAGTTTGGCATTTTGTATATTTGAAAGGGACCAGCACTGTAAAGTATGGGATGCATGCCATGGTCCTCAGGTTCTGTCTTTGGCAACTGCACTTAAAAACAGTTTTCAAGAGACAGATTTTCAAAAAGATCAATTCTAGACATTTTCTTGAGTAACTGCCAGAGCAGGAAATAGATGGTTAAATAGGTTAGTTGCACATTGACATTTAAATGATTAAAGATAGCTTTACTGGAGTCAACTCATGACAAACTATAATGTTATCATCTGATGAGATTTGTAAAATATCAGCTGATCTCTATGAACATGTCAATATTAAACTTTTTTTACCAAATTGATTTTACATATTTTTTGATGTTGGAAAAAATTAAACTAAGGGCAACTTCAGATGACAGTATTACAGCACTATTATTCCACTTAACCCCCCCCCCCAATGATTTTAAATACTCCTGGGATTTACAGTTTACATATAATTCTCAGCCAGAAAACTAAGTACACATCTCCGTTTGGTGGTTAGGTACTACTGTGCTCTTGCTGATAATAATTCATAATTAAAGGTAAAAGTTTCACCTGACCTAAAGTCTAGTCGTGTGCAATTCTGGGGAGTGGTGCTCATCTCCATTTCTAAGCCAAAGAGCCGGTGTTGACAGTAGATTCCTCCAAAGTCATGTGGCCAGCATGACTGCATGGAGCACCATTATCTTCCCGCCGAAGCGGTACCTATTGATCTACTCATATTTGCATGTTTTCAAACTGCTAGGTTGACAGAAGCTGGGCCTAACAGTGGGAGCTCACTCCATTCCCCGGATTCGAACTGCCAACCTTGTGATTAGCAAGTTCAGCAGTTTAACTCACTGCACCACTGGGGCAGTGGTTAATTTGTACCAGTCCCTAAACTGCAAATCCCAGAATTTAATAGGAGGCTGTTATAACAGTTAAAATGGAATCATAGTGCTTTAATGATTTCATGCATAGATCCCCAGCCTTTATTCATCCAGATGTTGGGGGGAGGGTTCAATGCCCAGAAGCCCCAGCCTGCTTGGCCAGTTGTTAAGATTTCTGTGAGCTAAATTCCAGAACATCTAGACGACACTACTGGTATGATGTGAAAGACCTAGATGTATCTGAAACTCCCCCCCCCCCCAACATTTATGTATTTATTTACGACATTTATATCTTGCCCTTCTCACCCCGAAGGAGATTCAGGGCGGCTTACAAGAGAGGCACAAATTGATGCTGTAACGTCTTAGGAGAGAGGAGGGACGATTTATTATTTATTACTCTTAATGGTGCCACCAATGTGTGATGTGAGGTATTATTGGGAGATATGGCACACTGGACGCAGAATTAATGGAGATGAGGCAGTCTTCAAACAAAAGAGAACAAGTTTATTTTGAACAAAGCGTATGGTTGCAGGCTGTTGATAAACTTGGAAATACTTTGAGAACTTTACATGTAACTTGGTTGCAATACAGTTCACACTTCTGGATGTTACAACTTGTAATTGACTTTTACTGTGGTGAAGCACTTTCTTAAACAATGTTTCCTGAGGTGAATAGCCTTCCTGTTTGATCCTTCCGTGATCAAACCCCAGATCTCTAGTTCATTTCTAACTAGTGATCTAAACAAGCTTCTCTTAGTCCTCTCTAACTAATGAAACTAATTAGGTTTCCCCTTCAGCCTTCCTAAACTGAAGAAACCTCCGACTATTCACAAACACTGCTTCTCTACTTCCCACTTTCTCTCTCTCAACTGCTAACTCCCACTCCAAAACCCTAACTGAACATTAACTGTCGTTTTTCAAACTCTCCCCTCTAAGCTCCTCCCACTTCTCTCTCTAGCATCGTCTCCATGGCAACGCACTCCTCTGACTTAGGCCGCTCCAGCATTACTGCAGCCAATCTAAACACAAATACAGTTAAAATCATACAATTTATAATCAACTTCTGTACAGATGCCTTAAGTACATATAAAAATAAAACAACATATACATTAAAATCACATGATTAAAACATATAAATTAAAAACAATCACTTAAAATCACATTAGTAATGGGTTGGTAAGTGTGGCAAAAGCAGAAAACTTTGGGCATAAATAATTGGTATGGTTGTATGGAATAACTTTGAGGATTAGTAACAACCAAAGTGGCTTTCTTTTTCTATTGAGGTTTAGTCAATGGTTGGTAAAAGCTGGTTTCTGCTTGCAGATTTTGTAGTAAATTATTGCATTTTATTTTAAGTTGCTCTTTAATGCCTCTCTCCATGGCAGGTACCATACGTGACCAGCGAGATTGCTGCAAGGAGTCTTGTCAATGCGTCCCTTGCACTCGGAGATGTGTCTGTGCATCTGCCATTGGTTTTATTATACTTGCCGTTATCATTGCTGCCATTGCATTAATTGTCACAGTTGGTATCCCCCCACGTACAGCAGGTCAGTCACTATTATGTTGACTGTATTATTTCCCACTAGAGTCATTGATATGATGCCTTGAATGTGTCACAATTATTTCAATATGTTAAAGGTTGAGCTTGTTGAAATAAGAAGTGTGTGGACACAATGAGAAGCTGAAGCCTAAATCCAAGGTTGCAGTAACAATATGGCTGAATATACCGTACTTCCTCTTAACTCCTTCCTGGAGCTCTGGGCATTTCATGAAAATCGGGTTTTCTGGATCTCCAGGACTTGTTTATCAGGGGAACTAGCAAAACCAGTTCCTGGAATTGCAATGGTTAACCAGAGGGTAACTATAACATGATGCTCATCATTCTGCCATCATGTCCAGTTTTGCTCTCAGGAAAATTTCTGAAACTTGAGTAATTACAAGCCCTCTCCTGTTGCATACTTAAAGGGAAAGTTGTCTGTGGACTGATATTGTGGGTACCCACAGAGGACATAAGGGGTTCATGTTTGTCTTGACATGGCTATATTTTTGATACCAAATCACCTGAAAATAGATCCAGAAATGACCAGAAGTTCACTTCTGATTGTTAGTTTCAGATTTTCTGCTCAGCTGTGGGATTGTTTTGGAAAGGTAGGACTGGAAAGCTATGTACTGAGCAAGCACCAGTCCAAATAGCACTTGGGAGGACATTTCATAATTTTTGATGACTTTGGGAAGGTCTAGGGCAGCGTTTCTTAACCTGGGGGTCGGGACCCCTGGGGGGTTTGCGAGGGAGGTATCAGAGCGGTCGCCAAAGACCATAAAAAATGCAGTATTTTCTGATGGTCATAGGAGTTCTGTGTGGGAAGTTTGGCCCTATTGGTGGGGTTCAGAATGCTCTTTGATTGTAGATGAACTATACATCCCAGCAACTGCAACTCCCAAATGTCTATTTTCCCCAAACTCCAATAGTGTTCACATTTGTGCATGTTGATTATTCGTGCCAAATTTGGTCCATATCCATCATTGTTTGAGTCCACAGTGCTCTCTGGATGTTGGTGAACTACAACTCCAAAACTCAAGGTCAATGCCCACCTAACCCTTCCAGTATTTTCTGTTGGTCATGGGAGTTCTGTGTGCCAAGATTGGTTCAGTTCCATCATTAGTGGAGTTCAGAATGCTCTCTGATTGTAGGTGAACTATAAATCCCAGCAACTACAACTCCCAAATGAGAAAATCAATCCCAAATCCCAACCCCACGAGTATTCAAATTTGGGCATATCGGATATTTGTGCCAAATTTCATCCTGTGAATGAAAATACATCCTGCATATTAGATATTTACATTACAATTCACAACAGTAGCAAAACTGCAGTCATGAAGTAGCAATGAAAATAATTTTATGGTTTGGGGTCACCACAACATGAGGAACTGTATTAAGGGGCCACAGCATTAGGAAGGTTGAGAACCACTGGTAAAAAGTAAAAAGTAAAAAAAAAAAGTAGAAAGTAGAAAGTGAAGAGCATCCAGTGAACTCAAATGATTTTTTAAAAATGCACATGTCAGGACTCGGTTTCCTGGCCTTGGAAGGTGGCGCAAAAAAACGGATTCCTGACATGGAGAACTGATAAAGGATTGCAGCTGGTGGCCTTGGGAAGGGCAGTTGGTGGCTTGGCGGGGAATATTGAGCGGGATCCTGGGTTGGCGGGAAGGGGGGATTCGAATGTGGGGAGGGTATATAAAGGGCTGACATGCGTCTGTGTGCCAATCCTGGCTTTCATTCTGTATGCGTATCCAGTAGTAAAAGGTTTCCTGATTGATTACGGACTGGCGTCTTGTGTCTTTTCGGGGAGCGGCTGCTGTGAGCTTACATTAAGCCAGGATTCCTCGGTGCCATCCCACGGCTGTGGTGAGGTACCCCTATGCAACGAGAGGAAGATCCAACGGAGGGAGGGGAACCAGGCTCCCCTTTCGAGAATGCGGAAGAGGAGCTGGAGAGAGTGAATGCCTTGGCTTCATCGACTGCATATGCCCAGCCCAACGGAGTCACGCAGAGGCGAGTAAAGGGGGCAGAGGCAGCGACGAGAGAAAGCAGCGGGCTAGACTTTCCCTCCCCGCAGAGGTTAGACTATTTGGAGGAAAAATTGGCATCCATGGAGACCACCCTCGCGATGATGTCGAGGGTGATGGAGCGGTTGGCCCCCTTGTTAGAGGAGCCACAACCCCGAGGGGACTCGATGTGGAGCACGGAGGAGAGGAATGACCGGAGAACCGGGGCACGTCCTAAAACGCAGACGAGTTGGAGAACCCCTGCAGAGAGCGATGAGGAGGAGGGACAACCCCGGGGACTGGCGTCCCAACAGACGTTCCTGGTGCCCCCGGCTGGAGCCGGGCGTGGCACAGGGCGTCAAGAATTGCCCCCGGAGCAGCGTGGGCTCCAGGGAGGGCCACCCCGAGCGGAGAACCGGGAGAGGCAACCCCTTCTCTACCAACCAAGAAGGGAGGAGCTGAGGATCGAGTTCGGAGGAGAAGCAGAGAAACTCGCATACTTCCTGACCATGGTGAGAGGATATCTAGAGGACAACGCCCTTACCTTCGGATCGGAGGCGAGCAGGGTGCGGGCAGTGGGCGCAGCGCTGAGAGGAGGAGCAGCGGAGTGGTACGTCCAGCTCCACGCCAGGCGCGATCCATGTTTGGGGTCTACGAGGCGGTTCCTTGCTGCAATGGAGGCACGCTTCAGGGATCCGCTCGAGAGGATCCGAGCGAGGGACAGGCTACGAACAATAACACAAGGCCATCGCTCCGTATCGGAATACGTAGAGGAGTTCCGATTGAGAGCGGAAAAAGTGCCGGAGTGGTCTAACACCACCAAGGTCCAAATATTCAAAGAGGGCCTGCGGAAGGAAATCTTGACGTGGGCACTTCATCGCGACGATCCGGAGGAGATAGGCGGATGGATCGAGCTGGCTCGCCGCATCGAGACGACGTTGGCACAGGTCAAGAGACATCAAGGAGCAGCGCCGCAGCAGACGAGAGCCAAGGAGGAGAATCGGAGAGCGGAGAGAGTCGCGATCGGGAAGGGCCCTACCGGAGGATCCAGGGAGCAGAAGGGCGGCTGTTATGTATGCGGACGCCTTGGCCATCGGGCTGCTGAATGTCGGCAGAGGAAAGGGGGAGATCCCCATTTTCCAAAGTTCAAGCCGGCCGCGGGGAAGAGAGCGGAAGAGAATCCCCCTCATAGGGCCCCAGTGGGAGACCTGGTGAGTCACAGCCCAGGAATGCTAGTATTCCCGATCAGGCTGGAAGGGGAGGGGAAATGGGCCAGCTGCAAAGCCCTCTTGGATTGCGGCTGCTCCAGAAATATTGTGGCACCAGAATTAGCAGATGAACTAAGTTATAAGAAAACCCTGTTACAAACCCCCATAGCATTCTCGCAGCTGGACGGCTCGGTGGCGGCCGGAGCCCCGGCACAATTCGAAGTGGGGGAAGTAAGGTGCAAGGTAGGAAACTGGGAAGGCGGCATAACCTTTGTAGTGTCCCCTATAGCCACTTACAATGTAATACTGGGGATGCCGTGGTTAAAAGAAGCTAACCCCCAGGTCAATTGGAGGAGGGGCAGCATAAGCTTCCAGGACAAAGAGGGGGAGGAGTGCTGCAAGGGGGAAGAAGGCACAGCAGGCGAAGTGAAAGAAATCCCTCCTGAGTATAGAGACTTTGAGGATGTATTTGACGAAAAGGAAGCAGATCAGCTTCCTCCCCCTAGAAGGGTCGAAGTTAAAATTGAACTCAATAAGGACGCCAAGCTGCACAGAAGTAGGTTATACCCCATGTCAGTCAAGGAGATGGAGGAACTGAGAAAATATGTTGACAAAAACTTGGCCTGAGGGTTTATAAGACCTTCCGAATCACCCTTGGGGGCCCCAGTGCTGTTTAGGCACAAGAAGGATGGATCGTTGAGACTGTGTGTGGACTATAGGGGGCTGAATGCGGTGAGCACGACGAACAATTACCCAATGCCGCTAACTAAAGACTTGCTGTCAAGACTATCAGAGGCAAGGGTGTTTACGAAAATTGATTTAATTGAGGCCTATCATAAGTTGCGGATAAGGCCCGAGGACAGGTGGAAAACAGCGTTCACCTGTGCATTCGGACATTTTGAATTTTCCGTCTGCCCCTTCGTCCTAAAAGGCTCTGGATCAGCCTTTATGCAGATGATTAACGAGGTCCTACACCCATTACTGTATCGCGGAGT